CCAGCTGTGTCACTCGTGTTGAATGTGTTTCCTGAATAATTAAATAGGTGACTATGGAGATACCCTCAAAACCTTCATTTTATTTGGATTTCTATCTCTGCCCTCATATGTGAAGTTGGGTCCTGTTACAGACTTGAATTATATCCCCTCAAATTCACAGACTAAAGCTCTAATGGCTGATGCATCTGTATTTGGAGATGGAGTCTTTAAGAAGGTATTAAGGTTAAATGAAATAATAAGAGTAGGATCCTAAACAAACAGACTGGTGTCCTTAGAAGAAGAGGAAGAGAATCCAAGTACACTCACACACAAAAGAAAGGCCATGTAAGAACACATCCGCAAGGCAAGGAGAAAGGTTTCATCAGGAACCACCTTGTTTGTACTCTGATCTTGGACTTCCAGCCTCCAGAACAGTGAGAAAATAAGTATCTGTTATTTGAGTTCCCCATATGTGGTATTTTGTTATGTGGGCCTGAGCAGACTAACAGAGGTCCAAAACAATCATGGTGGTCTCAATCCCCTTGCTCATGGTAGGTGTAGGCAAGGACCCAGAACCCATTTCTAGCTGCTGAGACAGGCTGTTCTGAAGTCTCCCAGGGGCTTTAAGGATAGGTATGCTGTTCTTAAACAAGGACTTAAGGAACTGAAGACTCCCTGTTTTTCTACCTCAGGACATGATGCTTGAGGTGGCAGCAGCCACCTTACTACAGGCTACAGATGGTAGAAGAGAAAAATGGTGGAACAGAAAGATGGTTGATACTGTCTGGCCTGGAGCCTTCAAATGAGGACGAGGACATGCTGAATTCCATCAGTAGGCTGTGTGGTGAGGAGTTTGCTCCTTGTAGCCAGAGCATCCTAGCTGATGATAGAACTCATGGTGTCACAAATGGCTGCCCTAACCCCCTCATGAATATTATTCATATCTCTAAAGTTATTCTTTTTTCTTTTTTAAGAGGTTTTTGTCATAGGTTACATGCATTCTCCAGACAAAGAGACAGAGACAGTGAAAGGGAAAGTGAGAAATCACCTGGGGGAGGGGTAGCCATACCGCAATCCCTCCCCCTCCATCATCCTCCTGAGATCTTGGGCACACATGCACATGTACTCAGCATGATTTTCAGGCCATCAGGTCCACGACTCAAACCGCAGTTGGCCATGTGGGAGTCCAGTGACATAACCATTACATTATCTCCTAGTCCTGTGAAAAGTCATTCTTGAAGACCAATATGAAAGTGGTTTGTGGAAAAGTCTGGGGAAGGGATTTTTTTTAGAGTTATTCTGTTTCATTATCACTGATACTCCCCAACACATACCAGTAATCACTCAACACCTACCTAAGAAGCAACTTTAATATACAAGGCACTGTTCTAGAAACTGGGAATAGAATGGTGAGAAAAACAGACAGAAACCATGCTTTCGTTAGACTTACCCACTCATACACATGTACACACGCACATGCACACATATCTGCAAATGAATGGCCTGACGTGGCAAGCTATTTCTAAAATGAGGAACTAGGGCAAATGCCAACATATGGGCAAAAGATTCTGCCCATTAAGACAAGTCAAATACCTAGAAAGTTTTCTTTTTCACAAAAATTAAATGCATTAAATGTGTATCGAAAAACTTAACAATGTGAAAAAAAAAAAAAAAGATTCTGCTGTCATAGAGACATCCAGGAATACCTGCAAGTATCCAGGGAACCAAAAGTCATGGATCCCGGGCAAATCTACTGGAGGCTATCATCTTCTTTATTTTTTTACTTTTTTGAGGAGTGACAGGATTGATTATTTCTGGCAAGAAAAAGATGAACAATACTTCAAAGCAGACTGAAATCGAAACAAGCCTTTTGGCTAGGCTAAACCATAGAAAAATCCGAGACTCAGCATATTTCATTTTCACACACGTCAGAACTTGAAGATTCAGAAGAGTCATAAGGCAGATATTTATTTAGTGTGCTAATCTCTGTTTTCAGCTTTGTTACTGATGTCCTCACATTTCATTTACTTATGTAACATTTCACTGTTTTTACAAGAATTACAAAAATAAGAAATGGTTAGGCCAAAAGTTCAAACAATATTGACAGGAATCAAGAAAGGTGTGAATGTCCTCTCCCTCCTAACTCCCACTTCCTAGGGATTATCATAGTCAGTCTTTTAGTGTTTATCTTTCTAGACCCTTGTCTGTGCCCTATGAATATACTGTTATTGTTGCAGAAACTTACTGTTTTTTGTTTTTTAGGTTTTTTTTTTTTTTAACAAAAACACAATTATCTTATACATATTGAGCCACACCTTGCTTTTTTTCCCCTCAAGAATCCACTATGGATGGCCCTCCCTCTTCCCAAGTTAGCACACATAAATACTCATTCTTTTTAATAGATGAGGAATCTATTTCATGAATGCAACATTTTTCAAACTACCCATAATTGATAAGATTTTTTAAAACTTTATTTTGAACCAATTATAGACTCATGAGCAATTGCAAAAATAACACAGGAAGGTCCTGGGGACGCATCAT